TTCTCTGTGTTATGTAGCATTTACTTGGGCTGCTATAATTAAGGATCTTTGATAAGATCTGTTTATATAACCATGGTGATTAGTGAAGTATAGAAATGGAAGCAGATTAAATGAGATTACCAACTACAGCTGTATTACAGCGTACATAAGTTGCTTTCTCTAATTAATTTTTGATGCTGCATCTTAAATGGATTCTCTTTCCTAATGTTTGTGCCTTGTTCTCAGACGTGGCAAGTAGAGAGCTAGTAAAACTGTTCAAAGGCCTTGCTGTCTGTCAGCTAATTATTTCTACACACCCATTGTTAACAAAATCCTTCTAACTGGAGAAGCCAGGTGTGTACTGGCCTAGAGCTCCAGTTATCTCTTTAATACATAGTTCTGGGCTTGAGTAAAAAGTGCATGCCATTTTCTATTGAATGCATAATGTATACTATTGTTCTCTTTTGTTTCACAACCACTGTTTTCTTCTCCTTTCCTCCTTGTTCTGCCTCTCATAAAACTGTTTCCCTACCTCCTTTTTCTCTTCTTCTCTTTTCTCATCTCCCCAGCCCTGAAAACCAGGAAACCAAGTAGGTGTGTCACCATCTTCTCCTCATCAGGTAACTGTTATCTAGTATGGTGCTGAGTTTAAGGCAAACCCAAGCAATGGAAGGTTTGTGGCAGCATTTAACCATGTAGATCTAAACGAGTTGGGGGTGGTGGTGTAATCCACTCTAAGTCACTAGCCTGTGGAGAGTATGCTCATACAATCAGTTGTAATGTTGCTAACATCTCTAATGTAGATGCAATTCTGGCTCTTTGACACTGGATTAATTACAAGCCCATTGGCACCTCATGAAGTCACAAAAAAAAAAAAAAAAAAGGGCACCTGGTTTCATTTCTTGATTCACGCATAGATACCTGCAGATGGAAGCAATACATAAAATGCAGAGCATAGAAATACCTTTCCCTACATGGAGGGTACCATGTAGGTGCAGACCTACTCTCAGGTGTGTTTCAGTGCTGGTGCTGTTTCAGGCACTGGCACATATACAGCCAGGATGAGCACAGGGGGGGAGCAGGATGCAGGAAGAGGCAGTGGGTTCCAAAACTCAAGCGTGGATGGGGTCCACTGTCACTAGTGTAAGGGGCTCCTGAGGTATGGAAGACTCCTATGGAAATAAAGAGCAATGTAGGAGTGGGTTTATTTTCCAGTAGAAAAGTGATTACTATTTTACAAGTCTGAAAAAAGACAATGATTATTCAAGTACCAGCAACCCATCAAAACACTACCAGTACAGTAACACATGCGCCACAGAACTTTGCATTTTTCTTCAAACTTTTACAGTTAATGAGTAATTTTAATTGACACTGGATTACTGGATTACTGGATAATGTACTCCTGCTGAAGACTTTGTAAGATCTCTGCTTGTCATGTTCAAAGGCACATTTCCAATATGGGAGCAGCTGTTTTGTTTTCTAATAGCACCTCCAGGTCTGTTGTCTGAGAAGCACACATCTCAGTAGCAGCAAGCTTCACAGGACTTATGGACTGTCTAAGTTAAAGCAGTGCTCTGGAGGACAGTTTCTGCTGTCAGTGATATGCTGTGCTACACAAGATATCAAAAACGTCAATCTGTGAACAAGGTAAAGAGTCAGAACCCACTGTACTTCCAACAGTAAAAACACCAGAGAAAACTAAATTAGTTCCCCAGAAAGAAACATGCATTTCAACACATCACCTGAAAGCTTTAACGCATTAAAGCAAAACAATCAAACAAACAGTTTTGCTCTGCTTATCGTGTAAATATACTCTGGGAATACACGTCACAAGCTGCTTTTAGTGCTGAATCCCAACCACCAGCAACTTCAGCTTTGTTGGAGCTCACTGTGGGCTGCTGTAGTTGCAGTTCCCCTGACAACTGAGGCTAGGTCAGGCCTCATAGCAGGTCCTCACCAGGGGACTGGGCTGATCTAGCAGCACACTATTACTGAAAGTGCTTGTCCCACTCCTTCATCTGCAAGTACAGCTGCTGAAATCCTGATCTTTCCTTCTGTTTGGCACTTATTTCACTACTCAGTGAGCCAGCTCAGCTTGCTACATGAGCAGGAAATCACGCTACTATCTGCAAGTTTTTTTTTTTTCTACTTGTTTCCTAAATTTACATACGGTAGGAGGCAGGTGTGCAGTGAGCAAATAACAGTTGCAAAAAAAAAGAGCATCCTCTAATAAACAAACTTTTGGGGCTCATAGGTCGCAGTGCAAAGCTAAGCAGCAGTATCTGTTTCCAGAAATAAGATCTTCTCAGATTTTGCCTGTGATTTCTGCTTCTAGTATCTGGATCCTAATCATGAAAAGTGACTGAACTGCCTTCATTCTGTTAACTACTATCCAAGAAATGAATTGTTGCTGGAATTGCTGTTCCTTTTTTAAGGCAGCTGCATTTTAAACATCTTCTGGAGTCAGGAAGGGGTCAGGGCATGATGTAGCAAGCACTCATGTTTGTGAACAGTCCTACTGGCTACAATGACACTATGAACTTTATATGAAATAAAGGGTATTTGTAAATGCTTCAGAAAAATATGACATACATTTTACTTGCAGCAGACTGACTGCTCAGCCTGTTTTTTGTACCACAATTATTCTTCCTTTATAAGGAGGAGTATTACTAAGTACATTTATAAGGCCTAAGAGAAACTATTGTTATGACCATCAGTGTAAAATACTGTCAAACCACAAACAGCCATTGTGTTGCCCATCTACCAAAACCAACATCAGTGTAACGTCACTGTGGCATAAAATGAAAAGTGATTAGAAGGAAGAAGATAAAAAATGAGCAAGTTTTGCTTCTCTGCAGTGACTTTCCAGAACGCAGTGAACAAGAGGGTGGATGCAAAGTGTGTGATGGCCAACATGACCCTCCTGACCTAAGCCAGGCAGGTTTTTGAGTGCACGGAGCAGGTTCTACATTGCCACACAAGCCAGAGACCCACACTGATGAACAGCACCACATCCCTGGAGGCCTCAAAGCCAGGCTGGATGAAACCCTGGGCAGCATGATCCGCTGAGTGGCAGCCCCCTCCACAGTAGAGAGGTTGAAATTAGATGGTCTTTAGATCCTTGCTAATATAAGTCATTCTACGTCAGTCCCCTATCCGCAAACCCCTACACCCGGCGCCCGCTCTTCCACCCCGCCTCAGCTCCCAGCGCCACACTGCACCGCGCATGCGCGGCAACGAGCGCGCGTGGCGCTAGCACCAGCCGCGCGGCCGAAGGGGTTGGGGGAGACGGCCCGCACGGCTACACCAATCAGGCGGTAATCGC